TTGAGAGTTGCTGTTAAAATAGGCCTAATTTATACTACCCCGATTATATACCATATAGTATATTCTATATTAACTTGATATTAATATTGAAATGCAGCAATTAATGGCAAATTGAGACAAATACAAACTTAATAAATATTTCTACTAAAATGGATTTTATTTCATTTTTATTTAAAATATTATTTATTTGTTTATTTATTTTGCTGGTTGCTTGACACTTCCAATTGCTTGAGTTCCAATTAATTGAGAGTTTGGGTTGTAGGTTTTTTCGGGCTATATGGCCATGGTCTAGAGGCATTCTCTCCTGACGTTTCGCCTGCATCTATGGCAAGCATCCTCAGAGGTAGTGAGGTCTGTTGGAACTAGGAAAAAGGGTTTATATATCTGTGGAATGACCAGGGTGGGACAAAGGACTCTTGTCTGTTGGAGCTAGGTTTCAGAATGTTCAACTGACCACCTTGATTAGAATATAATGGCCTGACAGTGCCTGGGGCAAACTTTTGTTGAGAGGTAATTAGATGTCCCTGCCTGCTTCCTCTCTGTTGCTGTGCTGTTGCAATTTTAGAGTTTTTTTTAATACTGGTAGCCAGATTTTGTTCATTTTCATGGTTTCCTCCTTTCTGTTGAAATTGTCCACATGCTTGTGGATCTCAATGGCTTCTCTGTGTAGTCTGACATGGTGGTTGTGAGAGTGGTCCAGCATTTCTGTGTTCTCAAATAATATGCTTTGTCCAGGTTGGTTCATCAGGTGCTCTGCTATGGCTGACTTCTCTGGTTGAAGTAGTCTGCAGTGCCTTTCATGTTCCTTGATTCGTGTTTGGGCAATGCTGCTTTGGTGGTCCCTATGTAGACTTGTCCACAGCTGCATGGTACATGGTAGACTCCTGCAGAAGTGAGAGGATCCCTCTTGTCCTTTGCTGAACGTAGCATTTGTTGGATTTTCTTGGTGGGTCTGTAGATAGTTTGTATGTTGTGTTTCCTCATCAGCTTCCCTATGCGGTCAGTGGTTCCCTTGATGTATGGCAAGAACACTTTTTCTCTGGGTGGATCTTCATCTTTATTCTCGTGGCTTGTTCTTGGTCTTGCAGTTCTTCTGATGTCTGAGGTGGAGTATCCATTGGCCTGTAGAGCCCAGTTGAGGTGGTTCAGTTCATCTTGGAGGAGGTGGGGTTCGCAGATTCTTTTTGCACGGTCTGCCAAGGCTTTAATGGTGCTTCTTTTTTGACTTGGGTGATGGTTGGAGTTTTTATGTAGATATCTATCCGTGTGTGTGGGTTTTCTGTAAACTGTGTGACCCAATTGTTGATCTGGTTTGCGGATGACTAGGACATCTAGAAAAGGCAGTCTTCCTTCATTTTCTTTTTCCATGGTGAACTGGATGTTTGGGTGGATGCTGTTAAGATGTTCCAGGAACCTGTTGAGTTCTTCTTCTCCATGGCTCCAAATAGTGAAAGTGTCATCCACATATCTGAACCATATTGTGGGCTTTTTTGTTGCTTTAGAGTTTGCTTTAGATTTTATTGTTCCTCTTTTCCCCATTTGTTTATAGGACAAGCTTTGCGCAACTCACCTTACAATTTACCATATGCATAATTTTCTAATCAGACTTCTTTATTCTGTTATTCCCTTATGGATGCCTTATAATACCACTTTATATTCTTAATGTTACTTATGTGATGCTGCATATTTTGCTGAATATGCTAATTTTCCAGTCAGCTCAACCAAACTAGCAACAGACTATTCTGTCAGAATAAAGCCTGGGTTACAGAAGACAAATCTTCCTCTAAAGTTGTAGTTGAAATTATCCATCGTTGGTTTGACCAAAAAAAAAAAAAAAGGGGGGGGGATAATCCTCTGAACAGAGAAAAATACGTTTCAGAACAAGAATGTCATAATAACACAATGGCAGGGATCTTTTACAAGTTTTTTAGATATCTGTAATTCTCTGATTTCCTATGCGATGGTGCAGCCCAGTGCCATGGCAATTCCCCTAGGCAGCTAGTGGGAAAGGAGCAACATTTGTTCTCTAGATTTCCAATAGGATCTCACCTATCCATGATGTGCTATTGATCTTTTGATCTTTTATCTTCTGAACTCAAATAATTTATCATGGGCTATTCACTCAGTAGACCCTCCTAGCACTGATCATTAGTATTTCAGAATGTCATCTGTATATAATAGTTATAAATCCGCTAAGCAGTATTAGGGGTAAAAAAAATGAAGCAACTTCTGCTTGAATGTACTCTTTGCCGTTTGGAATCCCATGTGTCTTGGACAGTATGTGATATATGCCAGATTCTACACACAATGAAAATTTTGATGGCTTATGGGAATGTAAGGAAAACTTTGACCATGGAATTAATAATACAGGAGATGTCAAAGAGGAAAATATATAAATTTTAGTTCTTCAAATTCTTACAAAGTAATCTTCAGATTTTCTGGTAGTTAAATTAAAGGAATACCTCTAAATTAAGTTTAATTAATAGCTTAATACAGTATTGGCTTAATGTTCAAATATACAAAACCTTTTTTTAAATTTTATTTTAGAAATAGTTGAAATATTTTAATCTCATAATTGCTGGTGGTGGGTTTATCTTTGAAGGTGGTATTCCTTAAACTTAGAGTAAGTATTCTTTTAAGACAGTTCAGCCAACAGAACTGGTAATTATAGTTTGGCTGAAGCTTTTTGATTACTAGCAATATAATTGGTGGGAATGCAGATGTCTGAATAGTAGTACGTGTTCCTACCTGTTGGAGACATAAATGCACAGATCATTCTACTTTTAGTTTAGGAAATGTATGTGGTTATGAATGGTAAATAATAGAGGTTGTTTCAGTGGAGTAAAGTAATACATTTTGATGCAGCAATATATGAAAAGAAATTGATTAAATATGATGACAAAACATTAGTCATATTCCTCTACAGAGTAATATATTCATACATTGTTATGCCTGCTGGGCAGGGAGAAGATCTCTTCTAAGAGATTGTTCTTTGGAGAACTGGAAAATAAGGGCAAGTTCTTATTTGAGTGTAGCATCACTGTTGTCCTTTCTACTGGAAGAGCTAAAGGTAAAAAGTAAGGTGAATTGAGTCTAGCAAGAGAATTGCTGAACTGGAATCATGCCCTTTCTCAGGATGGCTCCATGTCTCCTATCATCATGTAATTAAATTTCTGAAAAGAATGTGTTAAAACATTCCAGTTGAAGCCAGTGGTTGCTCCCCCCCCCTTCTGTTTTTCCTTTTGCTTAAAAATGGAATAGAAAAGTAAGATGGGCAATTATTCCAATTTTATACATATTTTCCAGGGAGTAAACTCAGTTGAACTTAGGGCCCTTCTATACAGGCCAAATGAGTCAGTTTGGGGGTGAATGGATTGCAGCATCCAGATGATGCACAGAGCCTGTTTGCCTTAACATAGGAGAAGGCCGCACTACATTGTCCCTCGTTGAAAAAGTTGTGGGATACTCCTGAGTTGTCCTGAAGCTTATCCACATTTTGGGCCACTGTAAATAGTTGTGCTGCTGTCTACACCGTCAATCACTTTCCCTGGGGACAGGAGTTGGCTCTTCCAGTGGAAGGGGCAATACTGAGGCCTTTGTAATGCCTACCAGGCACAAAAATGATGACACCTGAAGTAATAGTAGCTGGAGCAATGAGGCAATCGGAAAAGGAGGGAAAGGATAGAGTGAATTCTCCTTTCCACTCTTCCCTCTTTTGCATTGTTTCATTTCTCTGGCTGCCATCATTCCAGGCCCGAGTAACACACCATTATTTCTGTACCTGGGGGCCATCACAAAGCCAAAATCTATAGGAGTAAAGTAAGAGTTGCATTCCAGTGGCGCCAAATTAGTTCTTGTGATATTGGGCCACATTGATGCCATCCAGCCACCAGGCCAATTTGGGGGCTTGCAGTGCTGACATTCTCCAGCCTTCAAGCCGGTTTGGTGGCAAGCCATATGGATCGTGGCAACACTGATCCAGAGTACCCCATTGGGGATCAACATCGCCATTTGTGGCCTGTGTAGATGCCCCCCTTAAAACAGCAATCTAGAAAACAAAATTTAAGCAAACAATTTCCCTACCTATATTCTGAGGAAGACCTCCTTAAAAATATGGGTTGAATTTGGTTTGGGAAGTTAGGCTCAATGAACCAAGTCATTTGGAAAATATTATCCCAGAGAACTGTCTTTCACTGTTCTTTTAAATATCATCTCAGTTTTTAAATATCATCTCAAAGAAAGAACTTGGTTTAGTGAAACACTCATTAATATTTTCTGTACATATAATCTAGTGTAATTTATTCCCAGTCTACATTTCAAACAAACAAAATAATGTACAATATTCAGTTTTTCAGTCTTTCTCACAGTGTAGGGCTTTGCCGCTCATGTTAAAATCTTTATAAAATGTGATAGAAATCTGTGTCTTAGTATTTTTTCACAAATATGAAAGGTGCTTGTGTTTACATGAAAATTAATTAGAAAAATGATGTTTATTTTTACAAATTTTTACTACATACTGCATATATCTAATCATTCATGAATTTGGATGGATCTGCTTTATGTAATCAGCTTTTACTTGAATAATTTGAAATATTTGAAGATTTCATGAGATAGCATGACACACTGGACAAGAAAATTATGCTGAGAACGTATAAGGCAGTACAAAAAAAGAAAGACAACTTGATAGATGGGGTAACTCAATCAAGGAATACACGGGGGCAATTTTGGAAGACCTAAGCGGGACTGTTGATGACTAGGGTTCATGGAGGTCTCTCATTCAGAACTTAAAATTGATTTGACAGTAAATAACAACAAACAGCACATTTGAAACAGGATGTGCGGTGTATTCCATGGGGAGTTCAGTTTTTCTGTCTGGGCCAGACCAACAGTATATGTGAAAGTCAAAACCTTTAATTTGTTTGGACTTGTTCTTTAAGCAGAGATTAACTAAGGTAAACATGTAAATCTGTGTTTAAATAACTTTTTTTGTTATTCCCTAGGCAGCAGGAGCAATCTGTCCTCTTGTCTCCACTGTTATTGCTTCCTCTGCAGACGGATGTTTAGACCATTCACTAGATCGTGCCAAATACAGAGCAAGTGAAATGCCTCAGGCTTTCTTATTTGATATAATTCATCAAGCATATCTACAGGTAAGAATTCCAGCATTTCTACTCGCCCCCCCGCCAAAAAAAACCTATCCTGTTACTGTTTTCCCTTTCAGTGTACTCTGTAAGGCAACTGATTTGTCATGTATTATTTTACTACAAAATTTCCAGACAAATAAAGTTCAGGATGGAGAGGTTGATCTATGAGATATACTATAGCAATGGCTTCCATTTAAGGTGGAATCAGGTGCCAAACAGGGATGTGTTATTGCCCCAACCTTATTTTCCCTCATCATCGCTATGATACTTCATCTTGTTAATGGGAAGCTTCCACAGGAATGGAAATCATCTATTGGACAGATGGCAAGCTATTTAACCTCAGCAGACTGAAAGCAAAAACCAAGGTTACAACAACATCTGTTATAGAACTCCAGTATGCTGATGACAACATCATCTGTGTGCATTCAGAAGAAGACCTACAAGCCACTCAAAACACCTTCGCAGATGCATACGAGAAACTTGGCCTGTCATTGAACATCGAGAAAACCAAAGTGCTCTTTCAGCAGTCACCAGCCAATCCCTCTCCACTGCCAGAAATACAGCTTAATGGTGTAAAATTAGAAAATGTTGACCATTTCCACTACCTTAGCAGCCACCTCTCCACAAAAGTCAACATTGATAGTGAAATACAACACCGCCTGAGCTCTGCGAGTGCAGCATTTTTCCGAATGAAGCAGAGAGTATTTGAGGACTGGGACATCCTTATTTATAAAGCTTTTGCTTATTTATAAAGCTATTGTCCTCCCAACCCTGTTATACGCCTGCAAGATGTGGACTGTCTACAGATGTCACATGCAACTCCTAGAACGATTCCATCAGCGTTGCCTCTGAAAAATCCTGCAAATCTCTTGGGAAAAGAGGCAGACAAATGTCAGCATATTGGAAGAAGCAAAGACCACGAGCATTGAAGCGATACTGATGGCATAGATACTGAGAACTGGGAAGCACTGGCCCTTGCGCGCTCCAGCTGGAGGTCAGCTGTGACCAGCAGTGCAGTAGAATTTGAAGAGGCACAATGGAGGGCGAAAGAGAGAAACGTGCCAAGAGGAAGGCATGTCAAGCCAACCCCGACTGAGACCGCCTTCCACCTGGAAATCAATGCCCTCACTGTGGGAGAAGATGCAGATCAAGAATAGGGCTCCACAGTCACCTATGTACCCACTGCCAGTACACTGATCTTGGAAGACAATACTACTTGGACGACGAGGGATTGTCTAAGAGAGATTATAGATCTTACATTATCTTCTCCTAACTTGTTGGCTTCAGGATCAGTGCTTCTTAAGCTCTCTGATGTGTGAGACCAGCAATTAATTTTTCACAGAAAATGCCAGGGACCCTCATGGTATTTGTGCTCATTGGCCACTATTGTTCCTTTCTTTTTTTTTCTGGAAACGCATAGCTACTCACAGCCAATGTCTAAGGGAAGCTCTACTCTAGATAATGTTGGATATGTTCCCCACGTTATATCTACAGTCATTTGGGGATTATTTTCGTATTGGATGGACAAGTGTGTGTGTTGCTTTATTATTAGTTTAGCCTCAAAATTGTCTAAGTTTTACTTTTTTTAATGACATAAAAACAATTGCTCTTCTGAAATGTAGTAGAACCGTTGGGTCAAGGTAAGTTGGATTTTGGCCTAAGTTGCTGTTTATATTGTGTAAGATGCTTATGTCTTATAAACTCTTCTACCCAAGAAAGTTTCTAACAGTTAAAAACAAGAAATACAGTTTGATTATATTATATAAAAATCGTATCCTAAAACCGAAAAATAATTAAAATGAAATGTCCATAGAAGCAGTACCTACACCTCCTTTCACTCTAGAACTTGTATTACTCCTCCTCCGCCTTTTCTTTTTTCTTTTAGATGCAGGAGAGACTTTGATAGCCAGGCTCCTATTTGTAGATGTTATAGTTTTAATGACTTCTTCCCTACCTGAGGCTGTGGGGAATACACAAGAATGGTAGAAAAATCTCATTTCTGTTGTCCTTTTTGTTGGTCCTCCTTGCTAAGCAACAGCTTCCTTTTTTGAGAACAAAATCAGATAGTTGTAGAAATTCATTGGGATAGGTAGTTCTGATGGTTCAGTATCCTAATGACAGAATTCAAGAGAACAAAAAAACCCCCAAAATAGACAGTTTGTGTGGAAAAGTCTTGTGTTATTGAACATCAGAATGTACTCAACATGCATCTCTTTTAAAAGAGAAGTTTCTCCAATTATTCTAATTAATGAAAATTTTTTCCTCTTCTCTCAGCTTGTGAATAAGATTTTGCCAAGTTTGCTATGCTTTAAGAAGTCAGTTATTTGAACTATATGGACAATAATTTTGAAATGTCTCATGACACGGGTCTACTCCCAGATTTCAAATTATGGGAGAAAATACAAGTCATCCCCCTCTTCTCACGTCTTTAGCATGGCTACCAGCTAAAAAGGTATCCATAGTGTAAAAAAAGAACAAATTTACTGTGAAAGTAAGAACAAATTTAAGAGAAGTGAATATTGTTTAGCTTGTATTCTTTCAAGTTGTTTCTGACCAATGGCAGCCCTGTGGTGACCTTATCGTAGGTTTTCTTGGTAAGATTTGTACAAAGGAGATTTGCCTTTGCCTCCCTCTGAGGCTGGCATATGTGACTTGCCCAAAGTTACCCTGTGGGTTTACATGACTAAGTCAGGATTCAAACCCTGGTCTCCAAAGTTGTAATCAAACACTCAAATCACTACACCAGATTGGCTCTCATATTTTTTAATTGTATTTTAGTATTTTCCCCCTTTAACTATGGTCTGTGCTAGCCTGGCATGAAAGGGGAAGAAGCAGGTTCAGAAATTGTTTGGACTCTTTAGAGCTAAAGATAGCTCATCTGCTTTCAATTTTCCATTAGTGCATGGCAAACCCCATTCATAACAATGTCCCACAAAGTGTAAGCAGGAAGACTAAATCATCTGCCCACTTCACTGTGTTTCAGCAACACAGAATCTAAACAAGTCCTATGTAGTTTTGGTTAATAATTTTGATGGGGTTTTACTTCAGTAATGTTTTAATTTGTTCAAAATCTGGTGCAAGATTGGTGGTCTAAGTGAACTTGTCTATTTTAGATTGTTCTGTACTTGATTATATCTTTGGCACTATGTTGGATTCAGGATATGGTATGAACCGTGCATAATTAGAATGTTGTATGGAAAGCTTTAAATAAATTGTTTAAGACATTGGGAAGGACAAAAGGGGTTTATTTTGTTAATGTGATAATAACCTTTATAGGATGCTCTTCACTGTGCAGAAATTCTTAGCTCACTGTCTTCTAGGAACTACAAGAGCTCATCCGGTATCCATTTTATTAAACTTCATACAGTGCTCTGCATAAAAAGTTCATATAAAGTACTTTTCCTTGGATATTTTTAATATTTGTATATGTCACATATACAGCAAAATAATGTGTGGTCACTGGCTATTCGACTTACTCTATTTTTAATTCTTTCACTTTTCATGTAAAATATTTTTACTGTTGTCTTCCTCTAACTCGTTTCCAACATGGTGACCCTGAGTTGAACTTATCACATGATTTTTCTGGTGCCAATGAGACAATATGATTCACCCAAGGTCACATAGTGGATTTCCATGGCCAAATGGGGACTCAAACCTTGGTCTCCAGAAATAGGCCAACACTCAAACCACTATTTCACATAGGAGTCCCAAACTTATTACTGAAACTTGTATACGTTTTTTTAAAACTATGTAGGGCCTTCTCGTAGGGGGCCCCGTGGCTCTGGAACTCTCTCCCTAAAGAGGTGCGATGGGCCCCTTGTTATTGGCCTTTCGCTGCCAGGTGAAAACCTTTTTTATGGAAGCAAACCTTCCCTGACAACACACAATAGCAACTTATTTCACACAGACAAGGCTCACAAGGCCAAAGACTTGGAGCTCTGAGATGCTTAGTTTAATGTTTTAAGACAAGCCCAATGGCTTGAGGCATAAGGATTTTAATGATAATTATATATGTGATTATTTTTAGGCTTATGTATAGTTATATAATTTGAGTTTTATGCAATATGTTGATTTATTGTTTATATGTCGGGTTGGGAAGATGATGGTTTCTGGATTATGTCATTTTATTTTTCTATTTTGTTCGCTGCTTTGAGTTGTATCCTTGGGAGAAAAGCAGGCTAAAAGTAAATAAGAATAAGAATAAGAATAATATCATAAATAACAGATAGCACATATGACCCAAAAAGTTGATGTGTCATATGCAGTATCTGATATTTAGATACATGAGAAATATGACAGGAATTGCTTATTGTGTGGCATATTAAGATATTTGGATCACCACAGAGAAGATCTGTTGACACCAAACATATCTCCCTTTAGGAGCCAATTAGAGCCTTAAGATCTGCTGGGGAGGCCCTGCTCTCTGTCCCACCCCCTTCACAAGTGCGACTGGTGGGAATGAGAGACAGGACCTTCTCAGTGGTGGCCCCTTGGCTATGGAACTCCCTCCCCAGTGATATTAGACTGGCCCCATCCCTCCTGGTCTTCAGGACAAAGTTAAAGACTTGGCTCTGCACACAGACGTTCAGGGAGTAATGTAATATGGAATCCGACCGGAACGTAGCAACTTGAATAATGACTATGGGACTCGGCACAATGTATGTTTTTAATTTGTTTTACTGCATTTATGTTTTATTGCTTTAAAATTGATATGTTTATTTATTATTGTATGTGTAATTGCGGTATTGAATTTTGCCGCTCTGAGTCCCCCTTGGAGTGAGAAGGGCGAGGTATAAATATAGTAAATAAATAACTATACTGTGTATGCTTCTTGCCAGCAGCAAACTTTAATGGTGTTAGTCCAATCGATCCAAAGTGTTATCTGAACATATGTTACCACTGTAACTGAGATGGGAGGAACTGCTGTGTATGTATGTTGCTATGCATGTCATTACAATTGAAAAACACTTAGTAAATATATATAAATTTATTCAATAACATACTCTCTCTCTCTCTTTTTTTTTTTACATTTTCTACAGTGTAGTGATTATGACTTTGATTATGGAACAGAGTGTTTACATCTGGCTCTAAAATACAGCAAAACAAATGCTAAACTTATTGAAGGGCCTCCAGACTTGTGGAAGGTAGGAACAATATTTGGTTTACCTTATTGAAAGAGAAACATGTACACATGAAATAGGATTGATAAATAGGAGAATGGCTACATATTCACAAAGCTAAAAGTTGCTAGTTGGATATTTAATAAACATATTTATTTTACTTTTTATGGAATGTGAATAAAAGCTGTATGCATTGCAAATAAGAGAAGCATATATTTTTAATCCATTAAGGACAAATGTAACCAATAGCATCATTTAAAGAACAAAGCAGTGGAAAACCTAACTGCACATCATTACTAGCAAGAATCTACTTCAAAAGAAGATCCATATCCTCATTGAATTATTTTCAGGTGCTTCTACTTTTATTCTTGTAGATGAGGGCAGCCTTCAGTCATTTAGAAGCAAGTTGTCTTTTCAGACATCTGTGCCACTGGACTGATCCAATTAGTCTTTTGGAACCTTTTTTCCCTCAAACTTCAAAGATGCTATTATTAATTAGGGGGTAAGATTTGTCAGAAGCTGTATTTGGAAGGCAGTTCTTTAGCACTTGTTGTCACTGTTTACTTTCAAGTCATTATTGAGAGAGAGACTTCCCCAGGGTTATTCAGTTCTTACAATTGAACAGGAATTCAAACACTAGTCTCCCAGAGTTTTGTAGCTCAGCGCTCAAAACACTATACAACACTGACTCCCTCTTAAGCATTACTCTCCCACATTCCCTACTGAAAAACTAACTGAGAAAGCAAAAATAGTGTTACAAAATATACTTTGTGAAATTTAGTTAACAATAACATTAATTGTTCCCTAAAAAATAGGAGTTATGACATATACCCTGACATCATAGATCTCCCAGGAGTAATAGGAACAGGCATCTGTTAGAGGTAAATGGTCCATATTGAACTTGCAGTTTCTCAAGTCGCTCGTGACACACACAAAAAACCCCTTACAGCAGATCTCAGAGTGTTGAATTTTTCCCCTTCAATTTTGTAAAATTGCCTCCAAGTTGCCTTGTGGGAGAATGGGAGAATTTTCATAACTTTTTCAACATTTTTAGAGACCTTTGGCTCATTTTCTGATGCAAAGTCCTAAAATGCCAGAATTGCACTCCACATTGGAAAAGTTAGAAAGAACATTGTATAAAATGAAAAGGATCTGGGATGCCTGGATGCTGTTTGCAGCTCATAGGTCATACTTGATCTATCATGGTTGTAGGGAAAACCAGCTCCTTCTCTGATGCCAAATCATCTCCACCTACATCAGTGGTTCTCAATCTTTGGGTCCCCAAGTGTTTTGGTCTATAACTCCCAGAAATCCCAGCCAGTTTACCAGCTCTTAGAATTTCTGGGAGTTGAAGGCCAAAACATCTGGGGACCCACAGGTTGAGAGCCACAGACCTAAATTTATTTATTTATTATTTATTTATTTAGAGCTTTTATATACCGGTCTTCTCACCTCCGGAGAGGGACTCAGGCCGGTTTACAACAAGATTCATGAACAGTAGTTTAAAAACATCACACCCCATAACATTCTAATACATAAAATACATTAAAAAGCAGTCATGTACTTACATAAGGCCAAGTTGTCAAAGAAAACAAAATTCATTATTCATTACCATCCCTCCATGTGGTCAAAAGTTATTAACTTACTCAATGACTTTTCAAATAGGCCAACAGTTATGTGTAGGCAAAGCTATGATAGGTTGAAGGTTAAAGTTCTCATATTTTATTTACTCTTGTAATCATGTGAGGTCCGGGAGAGCTTAATGATTTTGTCCTTGAAAACTACTAGAAAAGCTCTATTCTATAGGTTGTTTCCTTGTTTTTTCAAAGGTACTTACACACTCACAAATATTGTTCCTGGAAGAGGTCCTAATATGGGAAAGCATTCCACAAGATTCTATATCATGAACCATATTAAATGCTCTAACAGAAGCATGTTTCCTTGGAGCCTTCAGTAGAAAGACTGTTATTTTCTTTTAATTTACTATTCTTTCATCTTTTGTTTTGCTTACTTGCTTGTTAGTCTAATTTTGAGCAGCAATCATTTTCTTTTTGGTCATTTCCCTCAAGGCAATATCAATTTTGAAAAACACATAATGTTTAACTTGTTACAGCCATACTTTTCTGTCCTTTAGGTGACCTACAGGAGGGATCTCTATGCAGCTGAATCTTTAATTAAGGGTATGTGTTTGTCCTTGTTTGTCAATTCATATAGTCACCCAACTGAAATAACAAGTTTTATTAAAATAGCTGACGTATTAGCAATTGAAACTAAAAATCATAAAAATGTCAAAATAATGTTATTTCTTTAAACATATACACTTACATGAAAGACACTCACATTTCCCAAAACAGAGAGAATAAATTTAAATATTATTTCCTAGGCTTTGTGCCATGTCTCCGATTTTGAGGTTGCCCAGTGTGACTTTCTAACCTAATGAAGCTCCATCCAAGGGGGAACAATTTCAGGAAATACATAATCAAGGCATTACTGATAACTTTGTTTTGCCTGCTGCTGTTCTTCTTTGACATTGATGAGATAACTTTGTATGCACTGTAAAAGTTCCATACAAGTGGTGACATTGTGCTTGCTCTCACTTCCTGTTGTCTCACCCCCATTCTTAACTATGAGTCATTGCAAATTGAGTGTGTGTAACTTGGGGACTGCCTGTACTGTCAAAGAGCTGTCACCTGGAGCAATGCTGTGTCTCTAAATTCTTCCAAATCCAGAAGGACAACAACATTTTGGGTAGGTTAGACTGAGGGCTCTTCCACACAGTTCTATATCCCAGAATATTAAGGCAGAAAATCACACAATATCTGCTTTGAACTGGGTTATTTCAGTCCACACTGCCCTATATCCAATTCAAAGCGGAAAATGTGGGATTTTCTACAGCTGTGTGGAAGGGGCCCAAGAGAATGTTTAGCCTAGAGCCGTGGTTCTCACCCTGTAGGTTCCCCAGGTGTTTTGGGCTACAGCTCCCAGAAATCCCATCCAGTTTACCAGCTGTTAGGATTTCTGGGAGTTAAAGGTCAAAACAGTCCCACCTCAGAAGTTGAGAAGGCCGGGGTACAAATGTTTGAAATAAATCTGGGGACCCAGAGGTTGGGGACCACTGGACTAGAGAACCAAATGAGTTTCATGCTTCATGAGGACTTCCGCCATACAACACTGGTCCTTTCATAATAACAGTATGATTTGAATGTGTTTTGTGTTATTTAAGCAATTTGAAATTCAAAACTTCTGATTTCCAGTAGTCATATTGCTGAAATTAAAAGTCTAATGTTTGTGTGTAAATTTGTATTTGCACCTTACCTTACAAACTGGAAACAACTGAATTCTGACCACTTCACTTGTTTATGTATATGTATATGTTATATATACTTTGTTCATTTAAAATTCATCAGAAATGTGACTTGTAGTCTACTTTAAAATGTATCGAACACAACTGTTCAGCTCAATGGAATTTGAGTATGAAAGACTGACTTATATATAGCAAACAGAGAACTAGCTGCACTAAGCTGAAACCACATTGCATGTCATATGTTTACCTAGGAGTATAGGCATATCATCTTAACAAAGCAACATTGTATTTGTTGTGTGGACTTGTTGCGCCCACCCACAGTTGCTGTACAAGCTCAAACTAACAAGTCATTAAATCAACGAAAAATGCCAAGACTGAAGAAGCTGAATTCAATTTACGTAAACACACAAACCAATTTAAAACAATACTGATTTTTTTTCATTCAATGAACATTCCTTTGCACATGTTCTGCTAGGCACCTTAATAAAAACTGAAAATTTCCAGACCCATGTTATGTTTCTTATATTTCACTTTTTTTCTTTTTTGAGTATGATTGCCTAGAGCATATGCTATACTTGGATACTGAAAATAACTTTCTAAAATACTTGATTTTTAAAATCTTGTAATCTAGAAATATAATTTAAACACATATAAATGTTATATGCAACCTATTATCTATATTTACCTAAGTATATACCTAAGTATATAATAATTTAGGTTCATTACAGATCTATTGTTAAGTTGTGCACTGACTTCAAAAACTCTCATCTATTGTAAAGCATCAATTTTCTTCTGAACAATTGTAGCAATTAATAATATGTATATTTTGACTATGTATCATTATGAAACTCCAGTAGTTATACAGATACAGAAAATCTTAACTACAAGTACACGAGAATTAACAGAATAGATGTGTTCCTGGATATTGCTTCTTTAACAAACAAAAAAGTGGCACCAAAGGCAGAAATAACATGGAAAGAAGACATAATCCTATATCGCAAAAAAGAACATTTTAGCAAGCATTGTATCCCAAACTAACAACATGCACACGTGAAATGAAAAAAATAGACTTGTATAAGTAACCATTATTTTTGAACTCTCTGGAAACAATTTGGAATCATCTTTCCAAAGCAATCAGGGATGACATTTTCTTTTACTATCCTATGGTTTTGTTTTCCATTTTGGTGGCCACATGTATAGATCTTGCTTTTTAGCATTCTGATGTAGTACAATCTGTTATCCCCTTTTTTCTCATTTTGCTGGGCACACATGTTAGTAATGGATTCTGGAGGCAGTTGCTGTTTACCTTGCCTGTTGTAATGAGGCAGGCACAGCTTCAGTAGGCTAGGTTAGAGTAGAACTCCATTCTTTTCCAGTTCAAGCTCTGTTACAACGTCAAAACAAATTTGCCATGAAACTATGCTAATTATTTAGAGCAGATGTTCTCAAACCTTTTCATCCATGGAGCCCTTTTTGAAGCAAAAGTTTCTTGTGGAGTCCCAAGATATGCCCATATATTATATTATATATTATATTATAGATAATGTATTTATATATCAGGCATGGGTCAGGCCAGTGGCAAATGGATGGAGAGTGTTTGTGCAAAACAAAAAAGAAAAAAAAAGAACAATACAATATTTAAAATGAAGAACAAATTTAACCAACATAAACTTTACAGTATTTCTGTGGAAGACCCCAGAGCCATCCAGTCCAGCCTCCTTCTGCCATGCAGGAAAAGCACAACAAAGCACCCCAACAGATGGCCACCCAGCCTGAAGAGGAGGAGGAGGAGCAAGAGCATAAACCCCAGAGGCCATCTATTCCATGCAGGAAAAACACAATGAAAGCACCCCCAACAGATGGCCTTCCAGCCTTTCTAGTTATAGTAGTAGTAGTAGTTGTAATGTGTACAATGTGTACATTATTTGAATATTTTCATAAAATAATTTCTGAACATATAACATTTGTTTAAGCATTTACATTTTTATCTTACAAGTAGTGTTTGTAAAAAAAGTTCACTATTTTAATAAAAACTATTCTTAATGTTCTTTAAATAAGACAGGTAAGAACTTGCTAGATGTACAGACAATGTGGCGCATGTCTGTCTTTTTTTACCTCCTCATGTTATTAGTCTGCAAATAGAGAAACCTCATCCTGCAGTTAAGATGACTCATTTCGAAAGGTAGTTAGAACCTGGATAGTACAAAAACATCCTGGAAAAAAAAAGAAGCTCTTTAAGGACTTCTCCCCCTAGGGCAACTATATCTTTCAACCTCTAGTTGAAACATGTCAACTTTAAAGTTTCAGCCTGCCTTTCAGGTATATCTTTAAACATGTATTCAAAAATAAATGAAGAATTAATTCTTACTTTGAAAAAAAAATCTCATAACTTGCACAGTTACTTGACTACTGAAATTCTTGTATGTAGCCCCAAACGCCTGCTTAGAAGTAGCAAACATTTAGCCTTTACAAAAATCAGATGGTAATTCATGTGTTCTCAGTTTAGCAGCCCTCATGTAAAAAATAACTTATTGTGCCCTGCTTGGACTTGCCACCTTTTCAGCAGTTATTGTGCAGTCAAGTGATTTCTTATTTAAACCAGTTCAGTGTTGAATAAAGTTTCTCATTGCTCTCTCTGTTACTTGGAAGAACAAGAATAAAGTAAAGGTGTTGACATTTCAGTAAGTTAGATCAGACCCAAATAATATCTAATTTGCATGATGCTAAAGCGACTTAGTGATAAAAGGCTTTTTATTAAGTACTTGTTCATAGAATACAATACTAGATAACCCTGTTGATAGGCAGAAAAGAAGCATAATTAAACAGAATGCTTTTAAAAATGTTACCCCTTCTGCAATAGAACAGGCAAATTGTGTGATTGATTTCTCTTTGGTGATTGCTTTCAGTTTTAATGGGTGAATGATTTCAATAAAACTGCCTAACAATACTTGGGATATATGCAGTCTTCTTTCATATACTATAGTAGGTTGCCAGTTGCATCAGATAGGTTGGTTTATATGAAGAAATGTTATGTATTCACATAAAGGGTGTTATGACCTTTTAATTCCCTGAATGTATGTGTGGTATGAGTACCCATGACTTCATTTAGCCATGGTCCATGGGTGCTTTTGCCACCCAAATACCTTCCTTGCCTTTTCCTTTGATAAGGGAGGGAGAAGTCTTGAGGGGCTTGGTAAGCTCCTTATGTATCCCTCTCCATTCTCACAGGCATGGATCTCACCTTATGCAAGAGGTGAAGGGTGTGCAAGGCCTTTAATCTCCCAATTTGGTTTTTTAATCTCTAATTAATTGCTTTTGTCATGTGTGTTTTATTTATTTTAGTTTTGATAAATTGTTTTAATTATCTGCATTTATTATGTATTTGTGTTTTCACTGTGTATTGCATGGCATCGAATGGCTCCTATTTATGTTGTAAGCCGCCCCAAGTCCCTAAAGGGAAATGGGATGGGGTATAAATAAACTTGATTTGATTTGAGGCAGTGCTTGCACACAGGCAGCCCACCTGCTAAAGATAGAGTACCTCCAGGGGCAAAGAGTCTCCATGTCCTTGCTGAGCTGAGAGAGGCACAGGCAGCCTGAAAGGGCATCCATCCCTTTACACCACCCAGATAGCCATGTCACTTCATGCAGCCAGGCTGCCCACAACTGACTTGACCGAGCAAGGGTCCTCCATCCCCCTATTCTGGTGGGAGAGGCACGTGGCTCCGCAAATCTAGGCTGGTAGCCTAAAACCACCAAAGAAGAAGCTCATAAAACATTTTATATTTAAAGTGGAATTGATGTTGAAGCTCCTTGCAATCTATAACAACTGCCGCCCACCAACTGACACCATATCTTCCTATATTCCTATACTCTTCGCACCCCAGATGTCAGATGCATTTTGACCCTTGTTTACTGCACTCTAGAGGACACTTGACATTACTTAGATAGGGAAAGGAAGATCTTCCTTTTTTTTGGCCCAGGGAATGAGTTTATGGACTCCATTGCCTTAAAGGGGGCCGAAAAACCCCTTTGAAAGATCTGAATATCTGAAAAGTATAGTAAGCTTAGCAGAATGTTACTTTCATTATAGTCTCACCTTTGCACTGTGTATAGTGATTCAAATCTTTTTTATATATATATTTGTGGTTGATAGTCCAAGATTTGAAGCAAAACTAAGGGCTAATTCACATGTATGTGTAAATCACACGGTTTTTCTATACTTACTGATATATTTAAATTAAGAGCAATTGTATTGGAGTTGACGTGGATCTTAGTGTTCTTATATAACATCATGATCACTACTGACCATACATGTTGTAACTACTCTCCAAGAGTATCACTTGCCTTTTTATATAAGAAAAAAGAAATGTTGGAATACATAGTTTAAAACATCCTAATTATTTGTAATTCACGTTTGACTTGTTTCATTTGAAACTTTGGATATGATATCGGCAAGTGCAGAGCAGGAATAGTGCAATCCACACTTGGGATGAAACATAAACTTGTAGGTTTCATTCCCTCTTTATAAACTTTAACCAGCCTTGAATCTAGCCTTAATACACCTTATCCTTCTTATAAAAGACGAATACTTTCTATACATAAAGAGCTTTCTATTTTTGTTTTTCAATAAAACCTTCTAAAATACCTGTGTGCTATAAAATTATACATTTTTAGCATAATAAGACTAATTCTGTTTTTTTCCTATTGTTTTTTCTACTAGACACCATGTCACAACAACTTTGTATTATCAGTAATATAAATGAAAATGCTAGGCAGGTAGGATTTCTACTTCATGAAACCCTGAAGGATCATGTGAAAGTAAGTATTAGGTCATGACATGAAAAAAACCTGAATGTTTCAAGGGGTTTTGTGCCATTGAACCTTATGACAAAGAACTTTGAAGTGGGATAACTATAGATTTGTTTGAGCTCACATTGTGTGTTATTCTCAGGATGGAGTGAAAGAGCAATCCACCATGGTTGTGTTCATCCCTGCCAACCCAACCCTAACCCTAACCATAACCTTAACTAACCAACTAGGGTTAGGGTCCTTTTCAATTACTGTTAGCACTTCCCCTTCTCTATCATTTATTCCTATTTTCTTTACCAATGTGACATGTTTTTCTCTTCAGTATTTGTGGGATAGGATATTTAAAAAATACTAGACATCCCCACCTTCCCTTTTGCTGCCAGCTGTGGTGACAACAGGGCCACTTACCTCATGCTCAGCAGTCACTCTTCCTCCTCCTGTGCCATGTGACTGGCAAAGGATCCAGAGGGAGGAGGGTCAGTTTATGTAAGTTCTCCAAAAATGTTAGATAGGAGGCTATCCTTCTTTCCCTTCCATTTATGGAGGAAAAGAAAATAATATGCATACAGGTTGTAAATTTCAGAGCAGCAGTGGTATAAATATAGATCACAGTTTGGAGCAGACAACATAGCTTAGGTAGAATGAGGGACAAGGAGGGTGGATCCACCTCTAATAAAGCAACATCACAATATTGAAAAAAAGCTGTGCCAGTTGGAGGAGGATTACTGCTTTTCGTGCATTTATGTTCAAATACAACAATCGATCAGTGGGTGAACCAAGTAATGACACCAGGTTTCAAGGAAATTATTAAAGGCAGACATAGGAACAATACAGGAAGTTAGACATCTGTTAGACATAGGAATAATAGAGGAAGTTCCATTTGAACAATGGTTCACTAGGACTTACTCTATTTTTTGTTGGGTTCCTGAAAGGATTGAGCCTTTTTGGCTTATTTTGATCTCTGATATCTCAGTATTTCCATTATGTGCATGTGTTTGGGTGCTTTAAGATACATTGAATAAAATCGTTTGAGGATAGGTTTATTAATACAATCAATTTCTTCTTTCAGGTCATTACAAGTACATCAACATCTGTTTCTGAAAATGATAATCACTTGCAAAACATGTTATTAGACCATTGCTATAACTTTGTCTGCATAAATGTAAGTAATTGCGGAAAATCAAAGGCAGTCTTCCAAATTAGTTTTCTTTCTTTTCTTTTTTACTTATATGCATAAATAAAATGGCCTTCATACAAATTTCATGGTTTTCTATCAAATCAACAGAACTGCAAACATAAAGGAGAGGTTTTGTGTTGACCTGATCCAGTACTATTTATAACTACATGACCATGTAGAAAGGATTGTTGCCATGTTTTCCAACTAGGAATATCTTATGAAATGATTTTGCAATTAGTACAGCTAAAATTGGCTTTGCTCAGTTACAAAATTAGAAAGAGGTAGTCCTACTTTTAGAGATGTAACGTGGTTTCAGTGTTGGACTTGATCTCTGGGAATCCAGAGTTCTGCTATAGAACCCCACTAGGTGAGCTTGGGGGGGGGGGGGTCACCCTCTCTCAGCCTCAGAGGGAGACAAAATAAATGCATATTGCCAAGAAAACGCCACAGTAGATTTACCTTGGGATCACAATAAATTTGAAAAATAAGAAGGCACATAACAACAATAACAACAGTTCTTACTTTTGATCTGATTACTTCAAAGCTTTACAGTAATTCTCACTATATTTACCATTGACCATTGCATGTTCATAAAACTGCAACTTTGGTGTATATGTATGTGTTTGTATTCAAAGGCATCTAACGAAATAGAACAAAAACCTTAACAAAATCCTTACTGTTTCAAATATGATTTACCATTTTTAGACTTTTTCCACTTGCCAGATTAGTTACAGTTCTGCTTTTTGTCATAAGAATGCAACTTGTCTTGTTTGGATAAATTTATTTATTATTGTTATTATCCAAACTGTTTCATGTTTTTTAACAATCTAACATATTACAGTTCAAAAATACTTTATTATAGGCTTTCCAGATATAGTTCTGTGAAACAGATGCTTTGTTGTCATGGAAGAATTTGACACTTTCCGTTCTGTGGTTCTGCAGTGAAATATATCTTTGACTAGACAGAGACCCTTCTTTCCATAGTGAAAATAATTTTAATAATTTATTTTGTTTGTTACATTTCTCTATCATTTATAGATGAAGTTCTCCAGAGAGTTCATAAAAATAGATTTTAAGATCTATAAAATATAAGAATATAATAAAAATTGAATTAAAAAATTCTTACAAACAGCTACAACATAAACTAAAACCATTACTCTTGCTTAGGTATAAAAATCTCAGTGGAAGAATAAAAAAGCATCAACATGGCATCAAAAAGAACACACTAAGAGTGCCATGCAAGACTTATCGGCACCCTCCATTAAGTTCCTCTACAACTTAATCAGGGGTGCCAATTGCAGGTTGGGATTGATGCAAAGCATAGAAGATATCATTTTAGGTTGTATGTCTGATTTGTCCTTTCTAGAAACTTATGTAGTTAGAATAGATTAGGTAAAAAAACAAAAAACAGACAGGATGGTCGATTCCTGAATCCAGACCCATGCTGGATCCAGGAACCATAGGAATCCATGCCTATCCCCTACCTCCAACCAGTCCCCCTAGGCTGAAAATGCTGCTGTTGAATACCGCGTCAGTAAATAGAAAAACAACTGCCACCCAGGGCTTTATATTGAATGAGCATGCTGACCTGGTTTGTATCACAAAGACCTGGCTGGATGAGTCTGGTGGTGGTGCTGGTGGTGAGAGGGGGGGGGGGTAATCTCTCTCAGCTCTGCCCACCAGGATTCTCTCTCTGCAAGGCCTGGGAGGTGGAGTTGCAGTGGTCTAATGTGATTCCATCCCCCTGATCAGGTTCCCCATTTCACAGTCAGCATTGTTTGAGTGTATGTACAGTAAAGGTGGGTAACCGGGACGGAATAGGGATTCTCTTAGTGTACCGTCCACCCCACTGCTCAACAGTCTCCCTTCTTGAGCTAGCAAGGGTGGTTTCGAGTTGGCGTTGGAGTCTCAGCAGCTAATAATGCTGGGAGACTTGAACCTCCATTCTGAGACTGCCCTGTTGGTAGTAGCTCAGGACTTCATAGCCTCCATGACAACCATGGTTCTGTCCCAATTCTCCTGGATCTCATGGTGGCTTTGGATACAGTTGATTCATGGTATCCTTCTGGGTCATCTCACTAGGATGGGACTGGGAAGCACTGCCTTACAGTGGCTCTATTTCTTCCTGGAGGACCATACCCAGAAGGTGGTGCTGGGGGAGTTACAGTAAAATATGAGGGCATGGGAAGGATAACACAGTAATTAAAAATATAAGCTTACAATATATCTGAAGAGCCTTTCTTCTAATATGAATTTGGCTTTATTTTAGGATGAACTGAATGGCCTTCAAGAGACTCATCAGCTACTAAAAATACTTGAAAGCAGAAATGCTTCTGTTCTATATTCTGTTGTTCTCATCTCAGTAAGTTAATTTGATAGATTATCCAATTTATCCATTATGATTTCTTACAAATGGAGTCACACATGAGATGCCTTTCCCACAAAAAAAATCACATATAAGGGACAATTTAGCAAAAATAAATAAAAATGGGCCTTTAATTGAAAATTTGATAAAATCAATACACTCATATTGGACAGATTCTATATTTTTGTTGCTAAAGACGCTATCACATTTTACAAAATCTGGACATTTGCAGCAATGCTTTACATATGTAACAGATGGGATTAATAGTACTTTCTTATGGTAGCACTAAATAACTTAAAGATCTCCAGTTTAATACTGTAAATCTGTCTTCAGAATTAAGACCCAATGTATTCAAAAGTGAGAGCTAGTGAGCTCTAGTTACCAGGATTTGGATCCTGACTCTGGGTAACTTTGGCCAAGTGATACTCTTTCGGCCTCTGAAGAAGGCAACGACAATCTCCCTCTGAAAAAATCTTGCCAAGAAAACCCTGTGATTTACAGTTTGAAAGCACACAGCAGCAGCAACAAATATTCAAATGAGCCGATTTCCTAGAAAGTGTTCTTAGTATTTTTTAGAAGTATCAATGAATTCCAGGAAAAATTGATATATTTGAAACAGCTATTAAACATTGTAGCCTGTTTCTTTCGGTTTTTTCCTATGGGAATTGAAGGATCTCTGAAAATTATCAATTCTTTTTCCCCTTTTCTTGTAGGTGCACTTGGATATTTTAGAAAATACATTTTCGAGCAGTGGAATGCAAAGCTTAACTAAACTTGCAAAGGAAGCAAAGAAGAAGAATATTTTTCTTTATGGTCTCATTATGGATTACAGGAAGGTATGTACTTGAATGAATTCTAATAATGTCTGAATTATTATTTTCTTTGACTGATGTGATTGTTTTTTTGAAGAGGAGGAGAAAGAAGAAAAGGATTTATGGAAATATGGATCTATGGCAGGCTTGTACAAGGAAGGCAGGTAGCAAAGGGCCAGCCAGCAAAGAGGAAGCCCTGCTCCTCCCCACCCGTGGGTTGCTGGGAAGCCCTTTGTGGACAGGATGTTGTGCAGGCTTGATCTATGGCAATTCCTTACACTCTATTGTTACATCTTGTTCTGAACCCCTGCCAGCAGAAAACTGCTGAGACAACAGTAGGTCTGGAGATGTTTGTCACCACATTGGCAACCCCTTGTGGTAGATACAATATTCTCTCATCAAACTTCCCTCTTTGCTGGCAGATATGCAATTCTAAAGTTTTATGTGGATCCTGAGCCATTCTCCTAGATAGATTTGGTTGGTAGGTTGGTAGAGTGGAGTGCATCTTCTTATGAATGGAACAAATTTTTGCAAGCTGCAGAATAATCTTTCATTTAATGAAGGCCTTTGAGACAAAATGGAGGATGGAAGGAATTTTGCCAGTTTCCCCTACTGCATATCATCTCATATGTTGGTCCTGTTTTGTGGGAGAAGGGCTATAGCGGGATGATGAATCAGTGAAAATCCCTTTCCAATTTACATTGGTAAAGGACTGCTAGCTCAAAAGTTTTCTGTGCGCAGAATGGCATGACTAAATACAGCTTACAGGTTTTATTGTTTTTTGTCTTATACTTTTTAATACTGTTGTAGGTGACTCTGAAATCAAATCCTATAGCCTAGAAATTATCTTCTGGCGTCAGTCATTATTGTTTTATAAAAAGATGCCTAACCTTTTCAGTAATTAGTTGAATGTTCATTGAATCATAATATATCTGGTTGATGGGAATGTCAGAACATTTTTACTAGCATATATTTGATTTCTCATGGCTGAAGAGACACTTAGTATAAACTGCATTCCTTGAAAAAGTACAATGATAATAGAAAGGTTCTAATTTTGATGTTTAATCTGTGACAACCGTTTTACACATGAACCCTATTAATTAACACTGTGGTCATTGAGCAATGAATACCCAAGGGTAATCAAGCAAGTTTAAGAAAGTGTAATGCCATTCTTTAAAATATTGAAGGCCAGATTTTTTTTTCCATATTTCCTGTAGCCTGCTATATCTTTCCTTCTACTCCATTGTCATGCATTCCCAAGATATCCAAACCATGTGTGGATATATCCATTGGGGTGTGAAATTCTACACACTTATTAAAAATATATTCTAACTCACCAGATCTAACACAACCTTTCTTTTTCTTTCATTCTCTTCTACTTATGTTTCAGATGAAACTTGAAATGTCCTTAGCAGTAAATACAGTATTAGCTTTTTCAATATGTGCAAATGAAAATATAAGAGCTAGAAAGATATTTAAGCTTACTTAAGAGAAACTGGTACTTTTTAAAACCTTTTTTACATGAACATTGCCATTATTACAGTGAGGCATACTCTATTCCTACAGAAGTTATAGTTTTCCACACCCTTAAAATATCCAGAAAATTATCAGTATACCAGAAAATGGCAAGGGAACAGATAATGCAGATTCTTCTAATTGATAGTGTCACACAGGTAAACAAAGCACTTGCAATGATAGCATTTGGTAAGACCAGCCCATTAACAGAGATTTGTATGTTGAATATCTATCTGTGTTCAATACCATATCAACAAGGTTTTATTTCAAAAGGGATTGGAACTTTTTCATTTCTGTGGGTTGCAGTACATTATCCATATTTCAAGTTTTACTATATTGATATCATATGTTCATAAAGACCATTCCAAACACAAATAACCAGCCCCAAAGTGTTATGCTGGAATAGAGCCAGCGAATCATAGAGTTGGAAGAAGTGTCATGGTCCATTGAATCCAATCCCATCCTCAGTGCAGGATCTCCAGCTAAAGCATCCCCAGCAGGTAAATTTCCAGCCTGATTTTGAAAGAAAAAGAGACCCCTTATACTATTCCTGCAAGCTTGGACAACACATCCACACTCTTCTTTTATTATTTGTCCTTCCTTACATTCTATATACATACCCCATTTCACTTCCTCCTTTCATTTGCTGAGCAGCTGCATTAGATTTTTTTAGATGTTTAGGTAAAGGTAAAGGTTTTCTCCTAACATTAAGTCCAGTCGTATCCGACTGTGGGGGTTGGTGCTCATCTCCATTTCTAAGCCTAAGAGCCAGCGTTGTCCATAGACATCTCCAAGATCACGTGGCCGGCATGACTGAATGGAGCACCGTTATCTTCCCACCAAGGCGGTACCTATTGATCTACCCACATTTGCTTGTTTTCAAACTGCTAGGTTGGAAGAAGCTGGGGCTAAAAGGCGGGAGCTCATGCCTCTCCCCGGATTCGAACCTGCGACCTTTTGGTCAGCAAGTTCAGTAGCTCAGTGCTTTAATCCACTGCGCCACTGGGGGCTCCTTAACTTTTGTCTTTTCTATGGGATTTTTTGCAGTTGTTCTTTTTTCAGCTCCTTCAAGAGCTCCCACCCTTGATTCCTGATCAAGATTTACTAATCAGGAATCTTGTAATTAGTGATAGAAATGAAACAAAAGAAAAACTATGACACAAATAAGTCAATTTTTTGAACTGACTAGTTTAAATGTGCCAAAATGCAAAGAGAACAGCACAACAGTCTGCTACTAATAGAAACCAGCACAGTTGCCAAAAACCAAGCAATAAGATTTATTTAAACTCATAAAAGTGTACCCAGGCACAAGTTGTTAAATTAATAATATAGAGGCATCTGAAAAACTAATTAAAACTGACCAATATAATTATGTGTTCGTAGTTTTCTATTATATAATATAGATTGCTTTGAATACTTTGAATGTTAAGTATCATAGATTGGATACAAGTGTTGATTCTAGAAACGTATGTATTTTAATTTATCTATATGAACCAGAGCAGTGGAGCAATTTGAGGACTTTAGCACACCAGGGTTTGAATCCATGCTCAGCCGTGGATACCCATGGGGTGAGTTGGGTAAGTCAAATTATCTTAGCCATAGATGAAGACAATGATATACCAACTGCAAAGAGTTTTTGCCATGGCTATTCTAGGATAGGTTTGCCATAAGTTAATTTGAGGGCATATAACAAGTTTAGCATATTTAAAGACCAATGATTTTATGAAGTTATAACCAAGTTTGCAACCACTGACTTTGTATTCAACTATAGCTCCTGTTTTCAAAAACATGCAACATAGAAAATCCTACAATTTTTCCCCAGATTGCTTTAGAAAAATATGGGATATTGTCATAGCTGCTATTCATAATCTTGGTTAAGGTGGGAATTTGGACTGCTTGTTATTAAACACTGTTAGTATTGCCACAGAATCCCTATCATGTTTAGAGTATCTGAACAACACTTGGAGCAAGACTGAATTATAATTTATGCAAAATAGATGTCTAGATTGGAGGGGATGAAATATAGCAATCAAAATACAGAAGCCTTGACATCCATATTCATAATTATCGTCCACAGATCACTCTGAATATACAAGAGAGTACATGCATGTAACTAAAGTCAGGTTTCTTTAGATGTCTGCCATAATATTTGTGGTTTGAACAACAAACTGCGGCTAACAGAAACCAGGGATTATTGTGGCATGTAAACTAATTTATTGGAATAATACTGGTCCTAGAGTTTGTGCCATGTCTAATTACCCCTAGTCCAAATGTTTAAGTTTCTCCAAACTCAGTTTTGGAGAAATATTTCAAAGTTAGTAATGAAAGTAGTTTTTAATGAAACCATTCCAAATTATTCAATAAATCCCATGTTTCACTCTCTTTGCTTTCACGTGTTTTGTTTTAAATAATCATCTTAAAATTGTGTGTTCTGTTATCTATCATATCTTGGCTGAGTTCCTGCATCAGGAAATGTATGTGTAACTGTCCTAGCTACATCTCCTGATGGTAGTCTCCAGAGTTTTCTTTCTAAGCAGTGCCGCCTTTCTTCTCATGTAGCCATTTCTTTGTTGTTGGAGAGTGAGGGGATGAGAGGGCACATACGAAATTCTTTTCCTGTAGCTGAATACACTGAGACAGGAATCTGGAGGTCTTTGCAGATTATGTCTTCTCAGACTGTCTAGCTACAGAAAAATGACTGGATGCATATGTGCTCTCCAGCAAAATGGAGATGGCTAGGGGTAGATACTGCACTGCTTAAAATTAGGGAGGATTTTGGGATAAGAGAGGATTTTGGTGATTGGGTGATCAGAACAAATTTCAATCTCCACAGTGATTTTTTAAAAAAGAGAATTGTGATGTCATAAATCTGAATTACACCATCACTATTCACCAACAGGATGCCAGCTGGAATTTTCTTTTTTGGTTCATTTCAATGCATGCTCTGGTTCCCTTTAGACTGAAGTAATAAGTGAGCAATATTATATTATATGCTTTGATATAATAAAGGTTAACTCACTCAAGTTAGTATTGCTTACTGCTTAAGCCAAAGTAACATTCTAAACCTATACAAATCACCTAAAATTGATTTTTTTTAGAATTGAATATACTGTCTAAAATTTGCAAAATTGTTCCTTGCTTTGAGAGCTACAAATGTGTGCTATATAAATAATGTCAATAAAGACAAAAGTGCCAAAACATTTATGTATGCGTATTTAAGAATTACCTTAACATTCCATGAGAACAAATAGTTATAATGTAATTTCCCAAATTGTACTCAAATTGTCATGCTTGAATTAATGGCAACCCAGGTCAGAATGTCAAAGAAAAGGGAACTAAATTCTTTAATTATTGCCTTCTCTAATAGGCAGATAATTACATTCTGGCAGCAGGTGGTTTTTGATGTACAAATAAATTTAGTTGGAAAGATGATGATACATCAACTGCTATATTTCCAATGCTATTACAAATCATACTTTGGGATAATTAGTCTTCAATTTGTATAAATT